AATAAGCTTTCCAATGCTACAAGAATCATTGAATTCCAATTCCTAAAGCTCAAGTTATGATAGAAAAATCGAAGCATGCTCATCTTGAAGGATTTCCAGATTTTACGTTATATATTCGACGCGTCACAACTTTCTCGTTTCAACTCCGATTCTTGCACATTGGTTCCTACTTGTCATGAATTCCATCTACATCATTCTTTTTCCTTCACATATCGGTTTGAACCTGAAAATACTCAAAATACACCTGTGATCCCATAAAAGATATTTATGAAAGAATTAATTCAAATTCCTCAAATTAATTAATTCAAATTCCTCAAATTAAACACATTTTTCCACAAATAATCCAATTAAATCACTAACAAAATATATACTTTCAAGCTCTTATCAATCCCCGAGTCCGGTGGTCCAACTAGTTGGACCAATCGGTCGGATCGGTGACGTCAACATATCCTACCAGTTTGAAACTTAATAAACATACCCTTGAGAAATCCAACAAACACAGCCTTGTGGTCTGGCTAGGAAACCTTAACCGTTGCAACTACAATCCACCATAGATCAGCCCAACGTCAGAAAAACCACCACCAGGCCACCACAAAAACTCTAATTCACCACAAAATACCATCATCCGCCACAACAAAATTTTATAAATCCATGTCTCAAATGCCAACAAAATCAAACTCTCTAATCACTAATCACTCGAAGGCCGAGTGAAGTGTGACCGATAGAGTCGTGGAGCAGAGCGGTATGAGTAGGTTGATCAAAGGATGCACAGAGCAAATAATGAAGATTGAAAATTAGAATAGGGATTTTGTTTTTAGCGATTGTAGTGACCCGGTTTAGTCATCAGTTCGGTTGAACTGACCGTTCAGTTCTATGCCGCTGGTTCAAACCTAGGTCAATCCGATAGCTGAAACAGGGTTTATGGTGTTCCTATACCAGAGAAGGGGCCAATCCGATCTGGGTTTTAAAACATTGGTTTTGTATTGACAAAATATTTAATGGATATAATTTAATTTATTTTTAAGATACCAAAACTAATTTCAAATACTCATTTTTTAATATAATATTTTTAAAACCGTGTTTTATTTTTACACATCTTTTATATTCCCAATACATAAAAAAATTTAAAAAAAAAAAGGTTTTTACTTAACTGAATTTAAAATACAATAAAAAGAACAATTCTATTAAAAAATCATGAAAAAAAATTCTTAAAAGTTTAGTTATATATATACTACACAGTTAATTGGTGAAATACTTTTAAACGTGAAAATAGTCTTATATCATAATGGAGTGAGCAAATTACCACATTGATTTAACTACATGCTCTACATGCACATGATGATAAAAAATTAATTTTCGCTACTTACAAATTTTGTATGTTGTTAAAAACATAAAAATTGGTATGTTTACAAATGTATGTATAATACATGTAGACGTAGTGTCAACATATGAGTCATTTGGCTTGCTCTAGACCCTCAAAATCACCCAATGATCAAAATTTAAGATTATTCTAAGGAATATGGAAATATTAATCTTTAGCTTTTCATTGGTTCTATTTTCTATTTTTGAATAACCGTTTCCTTCACTCAACAATATGTGATCATCAACTTCTTCCATTTAAACGATTGTTTGATTTACTCAAGATAAAATGACTTTGATCATCTTAGAACAACCCATTTGCTGCTTTCAAGTTCTCTTCTCTTTTAAAAGTTTACGTGGTTCACGTTGGCTCTGCTTCTTGCGTAGAGTCGATTTTCAGATAAAGAAACTTTATGATTATCCTCTGCAAGATTTTAGTGGGTTCATTTTCTAATTCATTGGGAAGAAATGGATTCTAGGAGCAAAATCAAAATAACAAACGTAGCACAGAGGACGATAATTTGTTATTTTTCACCTACTAAATTGGTTGAGAGGAATCTTGGGGAGCTTTGATCTATTGGGTTTGTGTGTATTTAATTACAACATTCATAAATCCACGAGTCAATGAAGTGCAATTTGTTTTAGCTTTATTAGAGATGTCAAGTGTCATTTTATCAATTATTTTAAGATCAACATATTATTGTGTACTTTTTCAAAGACATATAGGATGTGTTTGGGTCGGGGGCAAATAAAATGACAGGGGTAATCTTCGTTTATTTTACAAGATTCCAGTATTTGGTTTGAGATAATAAAATATTACGGGCATCTTTTATTGCAAATAGTATTTACTGTTGATAATATAGGGGATAATCCGATACCCTCCCCTAGGGCTGTTATTAAAAAATTACCAGGTAATTTGATTTTTAAACCTATTTTGCCCTTAATTAAATATCATTTCGGACACAATTGCCCTCAAATATCTGTCAAATAACCGTTCGCCCAACCCCCCACATTTGAGAATTTAGCTAAAACATCCTAGCGACAAAAAAGTTTAAAAGTTAACAAAATACCCCCGCCACCCAAGACCACCACCGACGTCGATCGTCGTAATGGCACACGACCAGCGAGATTTAGCTGATCGTGCATCGGTAAGGCCATTTCACGACCACATCTTTGGCCGTGAAACGGCTATGGATTTGTGATCCATGGCCAAAATTGGCTTTGCCAACGCACAGCCGACCATATACAGCCAGTCGTGTACCATTTCGTCGAGTACCAGTGGTGGCTGGCTGCCGGCAGTGACTTGAGGTGGGTGGGGGGTAATTTTGCTATAAATTAAAGTTTTATATGGTTGAGATATTTTAGCAAAATTTTAAATGTAGAGGGTTAAAAGAAATAATTCAAATAATAATAATAAAAAATAATATTATATAAATATTTAAAAAGGAGGGTAATTTAGTAAACCGTATAACACACCCACCAAACATATTATTCATTAATTTATTCGAACCAACAAACACATTTTCTAAACATTTCAAGTAATTTTCAAGATGATTTATCTTCTATTAATATAACGTATCCCTATAATAAAACATTATATGATGTAAAGATCCTTATAATTATATTATTTGATATTTATAATATTTAGGCAAATAATTTCTTATTATATTGATTGATTCGACACATTTGACACTCTGAGTTTGATTGTGCTCATAAATATGGCCCAACAAGGTTCAAACACTATGTTAATTATCTAACACATATGTTTTCCCTTATAATTGTTATTTGATTTGAAACATAGCTTTTCTGTTCATCATACACTTGGAGAGCCCTAAAACATAAAAAATATTTATAACCATATATAAATATTAAATTTAATTATGTGTTATGTCATTAAGTATAATTAAGATTTAATAAGCCTAAATAATCCTTATGGAACGCAATTAATTATATATTAAGAAATTCCTAAAAGGGCTTCTATAGTTTAATGGTCTCTTATGTGATTACATAAATAGTCAATTGGTATATGTAAATCATTTATTGGCTTTGATATATAAAGCACTGAAAAATAAAAATTCAGTTAAAGCTTTTCGTATAAGAAATCCCAATATTTTTTCCCTTTTAATATTTATCTTAATGGTACAAATATTCACAATAGAATATTTTTTTGATAGTTTAAACTTTAAACCATATAATACGCAATAGATAATTAGGGTAATTTATTAACAGAAATGCAATGCAAAGGTTCCTAAATTCCCCATAATTTTTATAATATTCTCAAAATCTTATAAACTTTGTAAAACTTCTAACAATTCTTTTTTGGAACTTCATAATTCATATATAAAATTTGTCAGAAACCTATGAAAGATATCACTAGCCCAAAAAAAAAAAAAAAACTTAGCAATCTTTTAGAACGTATTCACCATTTTAAATACGTAAAATTAGTTATGATTCATAAAAACTTAAATTTATTTTTGAATTATTAAATAGATTGGGGATTTCATTGGAAAAAAGAAATGTATATATATATATATATATATATTTGCTTCTATATTTTTTTTTTCCTTTTCTATTAATAAATTCCCAATATCAATGATGGATGATTTTATAGCGAGAATACTTTTGATTTATATTTCAAATATAAATATAAAAAAATTAGGAATTGCAAATTACTAACATAATTTGTGTTAAAATTATGTTAATTAATACTTAATATTTCTATTATTATTTCAAAATTTAGAGAAGTAATTTGTTAAAAATCCCATTTAATAGTATTTTTCTATTTTGTTTTTTAACCTTTACCCTTTAGTATGGATGAAGTAACATTGTCCCATTTAGGTTTTGGAATAACAAAATACCCCCTAATGTCAGTGTCACGTTTGAGTTTCTGTCTCCTAATCATGTTAGTCTAGTCAAATGACTACTTTAACCCTAAATTACTATTCCTAACCATGCGAAAAGACTAACCTATCCTCACAATTTCCAACAAATCAAAACTTATCTTTACTCTTTAAAATTAGACAATTTACCTTTTAAATAATTTTTTTTTTTTTTATAAAAAGAAAAAGATGATGGAAGTGAAAGAGATGGGGGTAGCTGTGCACAGCCAATAAGGAAATCAAATCAAGGTTTATCTTGCCATGATTTTTTGTGTGTTGACTACAGTTAAGGGACATTACTTGAAAGCTTGATGGTGGGATCATGGTGGTGTTTTTGTGTGTTAGTTTGGGTAAGAAGACTGATGCTGTAATCTCGATGGTGCTTTTGTGTGTCGATTTGGATAACGATGGTGATTTTATGTTCATATTGTTCGGGTTTTGGTGGTTGATCGGTTTTTTTTCCCCTCAAATCTAAGTTTTTCTTCTGTTTACTCTTAATTTGATTTTTTGTTTTCCTCTAAACTTGAGTATTTTTGTTTCTTCTCATAAAGCGTATATTTTTAACTTTTTTTTATTATTATTAAAAAAAAAAAACCTAATTTTTGTTCCCTTTTTAAACCAATTTTGGGAATGCAGTTACCGTAGTGCCCTTGTCCGTTAAAATAAACGTTTGATTCCTTAACAGCACACTACGATCAGGGGAAATTGTTATTTGGAGTAAACCTCAGGGGAAAAATGTAAAATGGAATCTACTCACTCACTCGGCCGCTCAACTCAAAAAGCCTTCACGCCGGTTCCGAGCCGCGGTCTCCTGGTCGTCAAGCAAACGCACTCACCCACTGTGCAGCGCCTCTCTTCGCCACTGCCGGAATTGGAAAAGGAAAAAAAAAAAAAAAAGAACGGTAAATTTCTCAACTTAAAATCTTTTGAAATTTTAATTTTATATGGGTTTGTAAGTATATGCTATTTCTTCAATATTTGGGACTGAAGGCTATAACTCTTGGAACTTTGCATCTTTTTTAAATTTGAATGTTGGGAATGTTGTGTGTGTGAGGATGTTATTTTATTTATTTATTTGATTATCTAAGACCAAATAATTTATTGGTTTACAAGTTAACTTGGGAGTGAATTGTTGAATCTGATGGTGGAATTTCAGTAGTAGATACTCCAGATGAATTATACTGATTTTTTTGTATTTATGTTTCCCGCTTGGGAGCATAACCAAAGATTAATGGAAGTTAATATAACGGAAGCAACCAAAAATAAAGCAAATCCCTCAGATCAAGCAGAGAAAGTGGAAACAGATTCTTAGCCTAAAATCAAGGGTGTGAAAGCAATCAAATATTGCATTTATTTCTCTGCAACAGCTAGCATTTATTCTAGGATTCTTACTTAGAATAGCATTTGAAAATTTGTATTTATTCTGTGATATACGACTGTAATTGCTGTGTGTAAAATTCTGAAAGTTTAGCAGTAATACAATTTTGAGAATTCTCAAACATCATCAGTTAATATTGATTTAAGTAAAGATTTTAACAGCGAACTTTGAAAGGAAGCTATAGTTCGATGATTAAGCATTGTCCATAGACTCATTGAATTGATAAATACTCGTTCAGTCTAGAGTCGTAGTACACCCGTAGTTTTAGATTCTAGGAAATATTTCTTTTAAAATTTGGGAATAAAATTAGAAGAGAAAAAGTTAAATTAAAGGGGTGAAGAGAGGAATTAAAACATATTTCTTTTGGACATTGTTCTTTCGCTCTTGATAATTTATTTTCCATGACTGCCAAACTTGCTTTGGTTTCTTATTTATTTTGGCTGAGTTAGTTGTGCTATTTTAATGGAGATTTTCTTGAGAACCTATGTGTTATATTAGTTTTGGACATTGACATAGAGCCATGCTCTTTTATGTCAGTACTTTGTTAACTTTAGGGATATTATTTGCGCTTAGTATTATTTTAGAAGTTTTCTTGTTAAGGATATTGTTTGTTGATTTGGGTTCCTTTTTGGCTTTTGTCTTGCCTCTATAAGTAGACCTTAATATAATTCTTTTGGAAGTTGGGATTGAATTGAAATACAGAAACCGTATTATGAGTATTCACGCTCTCCTTCTTTTAGGTTTTGTTCACTCTTACTTTATGGTTAAATCATTTTGTTCTTTTGTTTACAAGATGGTTTTCACTCATTCTATAATACCCCAGGCACTATGGACCATTCCGTATAAACAATTTCCAAACGTATGCATCGGATATGATAAACCACTCCATTATTATTTTCTCTTCATATTGTTCATTGTGAACTCAAATTATGTAATTGGTGTTAGTATTGCTGGAGAGAGTTGCTATTTTGTGGGAGGAAAACATATAGTTGGTAGGAATTTAGTTGTGAATGTGACCGCTAATATTGTTATAGCTGTATCTGGAACTAAATTTACATGGAATGGGATATGATATTCTGGACTGGATTTTCTTTTTCGGGTCTCAAAGTTTTTGATTTATTATTAGCCTATATTAAACCTGATAATTTTAACTTCAGCAACGCCCAAAAAATTTGACCAAATTTCATATACAGGTATCCAGTGGATCCCAAGCCCATGGTAACCAGAACAATTGAGGAACATGGTGCTCAGACCTTGCAGTCCCAGTTTCTGTAGGTTTACATTTTGCCACACGTGCTTCTCTACTAGTCATCACCATTACACTCCATGTGTTTCCCACAGAAACAAGCTACACTTCTCTAGTACACCAGGGAAAATTACCTTCAAAGAAATTGAGAAAGAGAAAAAGAACGACTGTATAGATACACAAATATCAAATGAGTACCACCATGTCACGGTTGATCCATTCAAGACCATCAGTATCTGGACTCTAGTAAGTAATCTTTATCATTTATTATTTCTCTAAATTATAGTTCAAAATTTCACTGGTATTTTATTTAGTTATATATGACTATTTTATTTTAATTTTTTGTTTTGAAATTTGTGTCTGTGTTTGATTCTCAAAGAAGAAAGATGGAGGGGACATGAAATTTGGATTCTCAATAACTATTAGTAGGCAAAACTTATGTTAGATGTTTGATTTTTTTGTTACTATCTTATATGTACTACTGATTCGCAGTTTCTGTGAAATTCCTTTAGTCAAAGTAAGAAATGATTTAGATTTAGTAGCTCATGGGATGGTTTTTTCGTCAGTTGTAGTCAATGCACTCCTAGGTGTCTGTAGCCTTACTTTCTGTAATTCATTACTTTTATTTTTCATGTTTTAGCTTGAATGTTGGATGTGGCTTTTGTTAGTTATGATAAAAGGATTGCATTTATCAATAAATCTCTTTGTTTAATATAAATTGTCTTATCATTTTTCCTTTCTCAAATTTCTGTTGAAACAGTGCAATGGCTGCATCAGGGAATGAAAGATATCTTTTGGTAGATTGTAACAAGTATGATGAACCCCTTAAAGTTGAGGAAGCAGAGACAATAGATATGCCCCCACCTCCAACAGAGAAGGTATGTTGTACTGAGGATTATAGTTTGATTTTGAATTTGCTTAGTTCCTAACATAGGACAAATGTTATGTTTATATGAATGAAATATTGGTGGGAAACAGGTCGTGACCATCTTCACGAACGCATCTTGTCCATCATTTTCAACAGTTCTGAAGATCAAGAAATGTCTCCTACAAGGCGTAAACTCGCTGAAACAACTCAAGCAGGCTCATGCTCTCCTTCTCCACTTCAATCTCAATGAAAACAACTATCTACTTAATATGATATTACGCTCTAGCTTACATTTTGGTGACATAGACTACAGTTCCCTCATTTTTAAACAAACCAAAGAACCCAACATATTTTTATGGAATACTATGATCCGAGGTTTTGTTTCTAATGAATGCTTCCAACAAGCCATTGAGTTTTACAATTACATGCGCATGGACAGATTCTTTCCCAATAACTTCACGTTCCCTTTTGTTTTGAAGGCATGTGCGAGACAACTGGATTTCCAATTAGGTGTTAAGATACATACACTCATTGTAAAAGCTGGTTTTGATTATGATGTGTTTGTTAAAACCAGTTTGCTCAGTTTTTATGCAAAATGCGGCTATATGGAAAATGCACTTAAAGTATTTGATGATATTCCAGACAAAAATGCTGTTTCTTGGACTGCAGTTATTAGTGGGTATATCAGTGATGGGAAGTTTAGGGAGGCTATTGACATGTTTAGCAGGTTGTTGGAGATGGGTGTGAGACCTGATGGTTTTAGCCTTGTTAAGGTTTTGTATGCTTGCAGTAAATTAGGGGATTTGAATAGTGGAGAGTGGATTGATAGATACATAAAGAAAGATGGCATGGGAAGGAATATCTTTGTGGCTACGGCTTTGGTGGACTTGTATGTTAAGTGTGGAAACATGGAGAAAGCATGCTGTGTCTTTGACGAGATGCCTGAGAAGGATATTGTTTCTTGGACTACTATGATTCAAGGTTATGCATCAAATGGGCTGCCAAAAGAAGCTTTAGATCTGTTCTTTAAAATGCAGAGAGAAAATCTGAAACCTGATCGATATGTTATGGTTGGAGTTCTCTCTGCTTGTGCTAGATTAGGGGCGCTAGAATTGGGTGAGTGGGCTAGCAATTTGATGGACAGAAATGAGCTTCTTTCTAATCCTGTGCTGGGTACTGCATTGATTGATATGTACACAAAATGTGGGAGCATGGCTCAAGCATGGGAAGTATTTAGGGGGATGAAGGATAAGGATCGAGTGGTTTGGAATGCTGTCATATCTGGGTTTGCGATGAATGGACATGTAAAAGCTGCATTAGGGATATTTGGCCAAGTTGAGAAATGTGGGATTCAACCTGATGAGAATACTTTTGTCGGTTTACTTTGTGCATGTACTCATGCTGGTCTTGTTGATGAGGGTCGCAAGTTCTTCAATAGCATGAGTACTGTCTATTGCGTGTCTCCTACAATTGAGCATTATGGATGTATGGTGGATCTTCTTGGTCGTTCAGATCTTTTAGATGAAGCTCATCAGTTGATCAAAAGCATGCCAATGGAGCCCAACGTTATTGTTTGGGGAGCCTTGCTGGGTGGATGCAGGTTGCATAAAAATACTGTCTTGGCTGAACATGTACTAAAACAATTGATTGCATTAGAACCATGGAACTCTGGAAATTACGTTCTCTTATCAAACATATATTCCGCTAATCGAAAATGGGATGATGCAGCGAAAATCAGGTCAACTATGAACAAAAGAGGAATACAAAAGATACCAGGTTGCAGTTGGATTGAAGTAGACGGGGTTGTTCACGAATTCCATGTAGGTGACAAGTTACATCCATTGTCAGAGAAGATATATGCAAAACTTGATGAGTTAGCTAAAAAAATGAAGGCCGCTGGGTTTGTTCCTACAACTGATTATGTACTATTCGATATAGACGAGGAAGAAAAGGAGCATTTCCTTGGATGTCACAGTGAGAAACTAGCCCTTGCATTCGGTCTTGTTAGTACTGCACCAAAAGAAGCGATTCGAATAGTGAAAAACCTTCGAATATGTGGCGATTGCCATGAGGCGATAAAACTCATTTCAAAGATTACAGGTAGAGATGTAGTAGTTAGAGATAATAATCGATTTCATTGTTTTAGCGATGGTTCTTGTTCATGTAAAGATTTTTGGTGAAATAATCTCATATTTTTCCAAAGAAGCATGTCATTTGTTACATTGAATGCATGTCTTTACTTGCAAACTGGATATACTGGCTGAGTTGTTTTGTATTATTAAAGTTGGATTACATTTTTACCCACAAAATAAAGAAAGAAATAAAAGCAGCAGGGTTGAGTTGTTTTGTGTTATTAAAGTTGTATAATTAAAACACAACTCAAGACTTATGGTCCGTGTAGTTGGACATGTTTAAATAAAGCTGAAGGGAGCAAGGTTTGTTTGGTTTATTCAAATAGAGCTAATAAAGTAGAGTTTATTGCCAGTTTATGGCTTTGTGGTTTATGGCATTTTCTTGATTAGTTTGTGAAGAGTCTGCATGCTCTTTTACGTCGGTTTGTGGCTTTGTGGGTTTCATCCATGTGTTTTTTGATTGAGAGTTATCAGTCTTTCTCTTAGGATATGTCCTCGTATTTGTACATTTTTTTGTCTCTTTTATAAAATTCTTACCTTTCCAAAAAAAAAAAAAATAGAGTTTATTGAAAATAGAGTTCTTACCAAGAAGGTTTTGATTGTTTGATTTGATAAATGAAACTAAATTTTTTAGTTTTGAATTATTAAATTTAAAATAAAATGATGTAAAATGTTTTTGCTTTGCAAAATTTTAAATAAGCTTAAAAAAGAGCAAAATTTGAGCTGTTCTTGATAGATAAATAAAAAGAAACCTAAAATCTCATTTTAGATGCAACTGAACAACATTTAAAGAAAGATTGAGGTGTACGAATGAATGAAGCCCTCCAATTACTTTTGGAATCTCTCGATCAAAATTATTATTTGAGAAATCAATGGCAATGAAAGCGGTGATACTTTTCATTGTCACTGTAATGGAATCTTGATATATTGCAAATTCCTTTCAACTTCACTAACATCCTTCACGGCATTAAGATTTTCGAAATACCAGGCTGGCAATGAACCACAAAATTTGTTGTTTGAGAGGTCAAATACTTTTAACTTAGGAAAACAATGCTTCGTCTTTGAGCAACCCCATACAAAGCCATAAAATTGATTTGAATGAAGGACAAAAACTTGCAACTCAGGAAGACTTTCTAGCCAACATGAGAAGGTATCTTTTACCTTGTTGTTAGTGGTTACCAACATCTAGAACTGGAAGCATAATCTATTGTTGTCGAAGTTTAGGGTCCTCAATAGACTGCCCTTAATAAATGTTGCAGGAATGGTGCCATAAAGTCTATGTTTTTTTGCAAATCCAACACATGAAGATTGCTAAAGCTTCCCATGCAAGTTGGAATTTTACCACTCAAACTATTATTAGAAAGATCTAGAATTAGCATGGCACTCATGTTGTAGATCATATAAGGTATCTCCCCAGTCAATTTGTTGTTTGACAACAATAACGTTATCAAGAAAGGTGGTGGAATTGGAAGTGATCCTTAGAGCTTGTTTGAATTAAGGTCTAGAATATCAAGATTCTTCAGGGGAAGCTGCTCTATGCTGGTCAGGTTGTTGTGGGAAATATTTAGAAATGACAACGTATCATTTCCAATGCTCCACATCTAATTAAGTATTTAACCACTGATTTTATTGTAAAAAAGATCTAGTTGTTGTAATCAATTTACAGTTCTTAAGATACTTGGGAATTCTATCGAGTTGCAACCTGATAACTTCAACGACCAAAGTTGTGGAAAAGAAGAGTTGGTTTTGAATGCAGTGTTAATAGATAGACTATTATGAGAAAGATCAAGTTGTGGTACGTTCTGATTTTTCATCACATACCAAACCAAACACTATTTTAAAGTTTTTCCCATCCATGTTGTGCTTCTTTGGTTATGTCCAATTAGAGTAATACTACACTCACAATCTTTTTATACAAATTTTCTCTCACAAACTTACGTGGCAAAAAGTAAAAGTTTATTTTAAATTTAAAATTACCTAATCATCTTTTGCCACATAAGTTTGTAAGAAAAAGTTTGTATAAAAAGGTTGTAGGTGTAGGATTATTGGTCAAATTAACATATTAAAATTCAAAGTAACACTACACTCACTAACCTTCTCTTACTAACACCACATGTCAGTTCACAATTCATCAATTTACATGGGGTCCGTCTGTCTAATAATGGATCCTACCTAACCAAACCAATCACAAACTCTCACATGAGATTAATGAGAGGGGTTACTGAGAGGGATTAGGGAGGTTAGTATTATTGTAAAATTCATTAAATAAATACATTCTTTTTGCTTTTTAGAGCATAATCTCAATAAGCTATTTACAGTAATACTACACTCACAAACACTTCTCACTAACTTTTTCTCATAAACGCGACATGTCAGCTCATGATTGGTCAGCTCATAATGGGTCATGTCTATCCAAATACGAGCTGTCAAATCAACGTTTATGAGAAAAGTTTGTGAAAAGTGTTTGTAAGCTTATCTTTATTCTTATATTTATGAAAATGAATTAGTTGAGAGGGATGGTGCAAGCTTTTATCAGGTGCTTTTATGTGTAATTAACTACAAGTGAAATAGCCAATAGAACTTTCATAAATTCCCAATTTAATTAGATTAATTGGGCTCACAATCAGGCCCATGAAGCCCAATTTTTTTAAGGATGAGCCCAATTCATTCTGACTTTAAATTTTAAAATCAACCTTTTAAAGAAACAAGTCCAAGTTATGTTAATTTAAATTTCTAATTCAAATACTTTTTTTACTGAATTGAATTGAGAAAAGTGATGGGAGTTACTCTTAATGCTAATTAGATAACCTTTATATTATTGAATTGTATAATTATTAATAATCGTTTGCTTATATTGGCAAACATAGTTCAATATTGGCTATAATTATCTTTTTTTCATATTTTTAAGTAAAAAACATTTAACGGAATCTCTTCAAAATATTCTATAAAATCGTTTGAAAATACCCAATAATAGTTTCCCTTTACTATAAGTTGACTTAATAAAGTTAAAATTTGTGTAATTTATAATTGTTATCACCTAAGATCACTTTTTTCAAAAGTAAACTCAACCAAACTTAGAAGAACAGCTAAGTTACAATATGTTTATCAAAACCAAACAAGAGTTTACTTAAGTAAGATTGTTTCACAAAGGCTAATTTACACCATCAAATATATTTTATCTCCCCTATGGGGGCTCACATTTACTCATCCAAACTGTCTACATTTTTTTATGCATTGTTGACCTCGGTGACTAGATCATCTTATGGTGATGTTAACCGTGCTCACGGCAATGTCGATTGCGTCAATTTCTGGCAAAGTTACCAATTTTTAGTATTTTATTATTTTTGTTTATTATAAGATTAAGGGTATTATGAATTTGAGCAAACCACATGTCCCTACCCAAGGCTTAGCAAAATGACAAGTTTTCACCCTTAGTTTCATAAGTTTCTGATTCTCATATTTAAATTAGTCGAAAATTGTTTAATGTAACAGTTAAAAAATAAAATAGTCATTCTAAATCTCAAATCTCATTCGACCGGAATAGCATCCAGTTTGGTGCAATTCCAACACCTAAACCACCACCAGATCCAAATGAAAACACCCTAGATTCAAAAACTAAAACAAATCGAGAATCCAACAACACACAACTCAAATTAAGCTAAGATCCAAACTTTCTGCACAAAAACTAGAAACGAAAATCGAAAAAACTAGGAAGACGAGTTGTGAAACAACTAAAGGGGCGGTAGACTGCATTTGGCAAGCTATCATACGCCAGCGTGATGGGGGGTGTTGGTGATGCTAAGGTTGGTGAGGAGTGGGATTTTGGCTACCGAAATCGGGCTTGAAAAGGTAGAAACCTAGCGACAGCTAGCAATTGATGGGAGCAATCAGGTGGAAATCATGGGGGTTTTGGTGTAGGAAGGACAAGGATGCTAGTGCTTGTGTCGATGGAGGCTAACGATGCCGGAATCAGGGAAATTGGCTTAAAATAAATAAATAAATAAAGATGGGAGGAGGAGGGGAAGATGAAGAAGAAGAAGATGTGAGGGCATTTTGGTAATAGCATCATTTGCATCTATGTCAGAACCCAATAGTCACTAACAGTATTAATTTAAGAGTGAGAATCTGGAATATAAGAAACTATGGGTGAGAACTACCATTTGGCTAAACCTTGGGGGGAACATGTTATTTGCTCTTTTAATTTTTTCAATTTAAGTGTACTGCAACTAACTAAATCTGTGGTGTTACTGATGGTGTCAAAGTGCAAAAATAGTTCTATAGACTTTCTATGGTGCCAAATAGTGTTGTTCTTTGAGTCTCACTAAAGTTCTTTCGAAGCCCCCATTTTTTTAAAATTCATTAAATAAAGCTTTATTCTAAACACACTCTTATCTTCCATCTATCCTTATCCTTCTCATCTTTAATGGTATTCTAAATATTACTGGTTGTTATTATAAAGAAAACATTGTCTCAAATCGAAACAAAAATTTGTTAATGGATGGAAAGAGATTGCAATATTATTAATCAATCAACTCGCATTTAATTAATAACAAAAAATATGAAATAATTTGATTGTTTTTTATATTTGAAAATTCTAACATGTTGGAAATATTAATAAATAATTTATTCTTGAATTTGATTCCTTCAAATTTCCTAGTTAGTAAATTTGCGTATTATTCGCGAACTGTCGTATTTTATCAGCCTAACCGTATTATTCGCGAATTATATGCCTTAACCGTATTATTTGCGAATTATTCCCATATTTTTCTTGTATCCGAATTTTTGTCGAATTTTTACAAACGTATTTTTCACTATTTGCCGTATCATACCCGTAAAATTCCCATACCCTTTTTTGTTATACCCGTATATTTGAAATGCTATATAGATTTTAACCAAATGGCCCATGAAAAGTGCTAAAACTAGGATTGATATTGCCGTATTTTTCAAAACGTATTATTGACAATGTGCCATATTAAACCCGTATATACCTGTACCGTATTTTTTCCATATCCGAATTTTATGATCGAATTTTTACAAACATATTTTTCACCATTTACCCTATCATATCCGTAAAATTCCCGTACCTTTTTTTTGTCGTACCCTTACTAACTAGGCCGTCAATTCCTCATAAAGCTAAGTCACTCAAGGCATGCTAGAACGCATTGTCCTTTAAGGATAGATTTTGCCCCCTCTAGGACAATGT